TGCTGGGCAGCTGGTGGGAGGCAGGAGGAGGGATGAGTGCAGTGCTGCAGTGCCCGTTGCAGGGATGAGCACAGCCCGACAGCGGCGGCGGCATCTTCAGCAGGGGCACGTTGGCGGGGGGCAGGTGAGGGCTCTTGCACGGCCCTGGGCTGTGGGAGGCCGCGCTGGCCGGAGGGGACTCGGACACCGGCTTGGGGGCGGCCGCCTGCGCGCTGGGCGCGGGGAAGAGCCCGGCCTGCGACGAGGGGCCCAGCGGGATGTGCGGCGCGGAGCTGAAGGGCCCCGCGTGGGGAGGCGTCTGCTTGGAGGGGATCAGCGCCGGGGGCTGCGAGGGGAGGCCCGTGGGACTGTTGGGAGGAGCAGTGAGGTCGGAGTGCTGATGATGCTCTGAGGAGTGGAAGGCCTCACCTGCAGAGAGACAATCAGACACTGGCTGTGCTGCACGGACCAAGACCATGCTCAAAGCCACCCACCACGTTTGCACAAGCTGTTTCTCCTCACAGCTTGGGATAGAAGCCATCTCTGCTCACACAGGGCCTTGGGGTCAGTGTGCCCCCCCCACAGGATGCAGCCCTGCCCCATGGAGAACAGGGCAAGAGGAAAGGCTCTGGAGCAGCAGGGAGGGAGGGGGTGGCCGAGGCCATCCCTGGGCACGTACCTGGCGGGGTGGCCCTCCGGCACAAGCTTTTGAACTGCTTCGGCAGCGTCTTGCAGAAGTCGAGTGAGGTAGGCAGAGGCGAGCCCGGCGCGGCGGTGCTGGAGGTGGCAGAGGCCGTGTGGCTGTAGGGACAGGCCTTCAGCCCCGGCGCCATGGCCGACACCTGGCTGGCGCACTCCGGAGACAGAGCAAGGCTGGGGTGCTTGTCACCTGGAAGGAGACCAGAGCTGGGGCTGAATCCCAGCACCATCTGCCTTTTTCACTCAATGTGCTGCTGGTACTGAGATTCAGAGGCCCAGCCTGTCCACCCTTGCCCACAAGGAAACCACCTAAGCCAAGAACTGGGCAGAAAGCTCTGCTCAACCCCACAGCCAGCTTCAGCTCACCTAGTGCAGCTGGGGGAGTCCCAAGGGGGCTGCCCTGCACGGTCCCGTTGGTGTGCTGCGAGTTCCAGAGGCCCGAGAGCTTGTGAGCTGACAAAAACGAGCTGGGGTCCCAGTCCCCTGAGTTCCCGTGGCACGAGGAGGAAGAAGACGAGGAGGAGGAGGAAGAGGAGTGTGAGCCACCCCCACAAGACTGCGACTTGCAGGATGTGTGGGATAACGAGACCTATCAAAGAAAACAAAGAATGAAGTGGCTGAGGGGCCACCTTGGCCCCCAGGTGTCAGCTCTGACTCCCTCCATTGCAGCAGGGGCTCAGCTCATGAACCACTTTTATCACTGTCTTGGGAGTGACAAACACCCCCTCCATCCAACACCAACACAGCCTGGCTTGCAGAGGCTGCGCCATGCCAAGGGCCACACACCTGTGCTGTGTCCCTGTGCTGGTCCCACTCACACCAGGGCAGGGTTAAATAAAGCCAGGCAGGAACCAGCTCCTCTACCCAAACCCCACGCACAGGCAGGCACTTGCCCTGGCAGCCACTGCCTCTCTCTGCGTCATGAAGAGAGCAGCCCTGGGGCTGGGGGACACGGCACAACGTGCAGCAGAGGAAAGCAGTGGCACTGTCAGCCTTGCCAGCCTGGCGGCTCCAAGCTGCTGGATGAGCCTCCACAGCACAACAGGGCCTGTCCCTGCTGAGCCAGAGGCAGCCCTGGCAGGGAAGTGAAGGCTGGAATGTCCGGGACACTCAGCTCAGAGTGAGGATGGGACCCACACACGCAGTCAGTGCCACAGGGTGGTCAGTGCCCTGTCCCTGCAGCCACAGCCCTGCCCTCCAAACCCCAGCCCCGTGAGCGCGTACCGCCAGGGCCTGCTCCTGCACCGCCCGCCGCTCTTCCTCCTCCACGCTCTTGCGGCAGCTCTGGCAGATCCACAGGGGCATTTCTCCCAGGAGGTTCTGCACGAGCGTTGGCACGAAGTCGGGTGGCAGCCTCTCGCCCGGGGAAACCAGCCCATTGTGGGACGGCCCTCCCCAGTCCTTGCGCTCCCGGTGACAGAGCAGGCAGCAGGTCTGCACGGACTGGTTGGCGGTGGGCAGCACCTGGGGAAGGACACACAGACCGTGAGTCACCCAGGTGTGATCTGGCGCAGATGTGGGGCAGTGAAGGAGGCCTCAGGACGCTGACACCAAACCAAGGAAATTCTTACAGGCTACATGTGGTATTGCACCTTCTCCCAGTGGAGCAGAGCAGCCTCAGGCTGACCAGCTGCTGCCAACCTGCCATGTGCCAGCTTGGGAGTGTTTGGACTTCTGGGAAGATCACAGCATGCCAAAGAGCCAGCCTTGCCACCAGCAAGGCTGGGAAGCCATCAGCAACTCCCATCATCACCTCTGGTACAGTGAGACTGAGGGTACTTGCATGGCAAAGCAAGACCCACAGAAATCCCACACAGGGATACGAAGGGTGGGTCTGACAGCCTCAGCTCTCCCTCCTCGCCCATCAAAGATGCCCCCACTGTATCACCCAAGAGCCCCAAGCCCTCTCTCCCGCCTCTTTGTTCTGCACAGCCAGCGGTGCTGATGCGCCAGGGTGGGGTGCAGCCCCCCGTGCCGCTTCACGCTCTCCCTGCACAGG